ATGCATAGTAAAAATGGGGGACTAAAGGTTTTGATAATAAGAATCATGATAATAAACTATAGTGATAATTAGCATTAGCACAAATGCCTCTTGAACGCCCTTGTATACAAGGGTCGGAGGCATGTGTTCTGTTTTTGTAATAACTGCAGCAGCGACCTCTCTTCAGAGGTCGCGCTACGAGTTCCCAGAGTAAAACACATGGAAATCTTGCACCTGTTTTAAAAATTACAGTAATGACTCGAGTTTCAAACATGGTTCCCTAGTAATGAACATTGCAGGGTGGAATGGTATTTGTTGTTGATAACGTAATAGGAAGAATTGTTTTTTAAGGGTGTCTAATTCTTTACATTCAATTAAAATGTAAAGCAAAGTTTGCGCTTCACCACATCTCTCACACAATGGTGGATCGTCACCAGACAAAAGGTGTGAGTGTGTTGTGTATGTGGGTCCTATCCTTAGCCGTGTTAGTGTAACATGTGTGCGGCGTGACTTAAATACTGCCGGCCACTGACCGAGTTGCAGCTTAGTAACATGCAGTTTATTTTGTGTGACGCTTCAAGACATAGAAAACATTTGTTTGCCTGCTGCATGTAGGCGGAAAGTTGAGAATGGCAGGACAAGACGTCTTGTGGTGTTTATAGTGCTCAAAGAAGAAAAAAGCGCTATTAGTGAAGAAATGCATAGTCGTCGCAAAAAACATGACAGTCATTATTAGTAGCCGTCACCATTACTTAGCCAAATCGCCCGGCAATGCAGATACCATCACCCAATTGGCCGAACTTCTGGAGGACATAGAAAAGCTGAAAGTGTCTTCATGGTGTCCCAATGCGTCAGCAGGACGCCTCATGAGTAATGACTACGAAGTGCTCACCGATACGCCAAAGTGCAGTCCCTGCTCGAAGCTTTGGCTTCAGCTATATAACAGGTTTCATTAGAGGAACTTAAGAAGAAGCGGAGGGAAGACATGCTTAAAGGGCCACTCACCAGGTTTGACAATTTTGAGCTGTCAAGCGCAATGGGTAGACGAGGCGGCGTTCATGATCACGTCTGCCAAACATTGCAACGCTACGCGCCGGGGAAATGGGTCAAATTTCAAGATGAAAACTGCTCTCCCTCCCCTCTGCGGGTGCATGCATAGAGAATGAGGGCATGACGTAGGCGTAGGAATGGCCCTACGTACAAGGCAATGCAGTGACGTTGGTCCTTTATGTAGACGAGTCTGCTCTGACGTTGTCAACAGTATACCACGTGACATGGCAAAAATTATTTAACGTAACATGCGTAGTTTATGTGCTTGTTGCTTTAAAAGATTAATAATACTTGAAATAAATAATGAGACGCGATAAAAAATTGTGCGCGCTTTTCTTTTATTTATTTTTCCCGTGAAATGCTACGAGATGCGAGGCTAATGTGCGAGCGTTTCACATGCGTTCGTGTCCCCGTGGCCAGTGCATTGAGCAGACGACCGCTGTGGAACGCTCCTACGCGTTCACGCACTCATTGTGCTCATCTACTCTACCGTGTCTAAGCTAGCGTTTCCAAACCACCCCACAGAAACAGGCAGAAGACCACAAAATAACGCTGGTCAACAAAGCAACGCTGCTCGCGTTCTCAGAGGTTGGACTTGTTTAGGCACGTCATGCGCACGTCACCTCATGGTCGGATGCTGGCGAGGGTGGGGAAGAGATTTGGCTTGCGAAGGCTACGCGGAGGAGTGGCAAGGGTTTTGAGCTCGCCTCCTCTCATTCTCGTTTCGCACCACTTCAAAAAACCTGTTTTCTCCGCTTGTGATGAAACAATTCGAAAAATTTTTGTGGCAAAATGTTCTTCATCGGACACCCAACTAATTCCACTGTCTTACTAAAATTCGGTATGGGGCCTGGTGAGTGGCCCTTTAAGAAAAGCACTGCACGTGCAGCTTTTCCACGCCCTAAGTTACTAAAGAACGAGATTGACATAAAAAAAAAGCTGACTACAGAAGCAGACAAAAGCCATGGGATTGCGCCACATAGTTGTTTTTATTTTAAGGCACGAAAAATACAGTCACAAGCGAGGATAAAAGACATTGTAATTGGGTTTTTTTATGCCTAAAAATTAATTGAGAACGTAAACCAACTAGCAACTAGCGAACAGACTCGTATGTTATGCTATCAAGCATCGTTTATCGTGGGCAGTTGAGAAAGCCATTATTATGCATTATTATGCATTTTCGTGCATATTTTGTAATCCTTACCTAATGATCATGTACAGAGGGTCCCGGTACGGTTCTTCTGACCTTGGGACCCTCTTCTGCATATCCTTAACGATGTAACCGTACTATGCAAAAATAAAGATTGATTGATTGATTGATTGATTGATATGCTGTACAGTCGAGCCCGCTTAGAACGAACTTGAGCCTGATGCGGCATCCGTTCGGTGTATCCCAAAGTTCATAGTAAATGAAACACAGCTTTTAAAAAAGTTGCAAGTGAAAACACAGACTTTCGTTGCCCAAAAAAGTTCGTGATGCACATGTTTCAAAGAGCAGAAGCGATAAGGGCGGTTTCTAGTTTATTTCAAACAGCAGCGTGCTTGTTCGCCGAGGCCCGTGGCATAAGCTACATGAGGGCTCCAAAGTTTCATCAATCTCGCAATTCGATTCCTCCAAATCGCTCTTGCCATGTACTTCATTCACAATGCCCTAATTCGTGCACGGTTCCGCGGTGTCGGCATCATCATCGGCCGAAATGAAACTATCGCAACAGATGTTCCACTCACTCTCCCATGTCGGCATCGATGACACGCTGCCACAAATCGCCACCAAAGTGATCCTGTTCGGAAGCTTCAGGCTCGACATCGGGCCCGAGGTCGACGAAGTTGTCCTCGCGAAAACAGTTTCACGTGCACGTAGCCGTCACCACCGCCCACGAAATATTCACCATCTCCACAAACAAATACCGGGACGCCGTAGCGGCAAGTTCGCAGCCAGGTAGTCAACAGCTATGAGCAAGCCCTCCACAATGCGGCACCTAACGCGCAGATTACGCTCAAGCCAAGCAGTCACACTTTCGACCTTTTGTTGAGCAGCAGGAAAAAGCGTGCAAGACCTCTCGTCTGCCATCCTGATCCCACACGCACACCAAGAGCGAGCAAGACGCGCACACGCGACACACATGCCAGAACGCGGGGAACAGATCTGGGCCCGTTTCTAGTCAGAAAATGAAACTAACTCGAGTCAGCGTGGCTAGCGTCGCGGAGCGGCGGAGACAGGCAAAGGGGTTGTGATCAAGAGAGGAAAGCAGATTTGCGAGAGAGTTGCGGTATAGTGAAAAGAGGGGAGGACATGGCGGGAGGGCGGGAGAGCGGCAACTAGAGGGGCGCGGAGGCAGGGTCGGCGTTTAACAATACGAATATACGGGCACCTCACCAATGCCTCATCGGTGGTCGAAAGTGGTTTTCCGGGAAGTCGGCTGAGCGCCGACCCCATTCGCTGTAACCGATCGGTGGCGCTCGGAGACGTGCGACATTAAACCAATCTATATTTTCACAGTCAAGCGGATATTGTTCATTCTAGGCGAAAGTTCGTTTTAAGGGGGGCTGTTATATGTGGACTCGACTGTATTTGCCTTACACCACTAAAATATTACGCAGTATAAAGTTCTTGTGGCAGCACAACAGCAAATCCCGATATTATACTGTCGGCAAAGCTCTTTCAGAATGGCCACCGTGGCGTCTTGCCACGACGATTGCGCGTTTTCGTCTGCTAGCGGAAGTTGTGGCGCCTACGCCACCAAACCAGAAGTTGTCTTGGGGCCGTGCGACGGGTCGTCTGACACGGGCAGTTTTGCAACTTACCTAGTTCTAGAAACGTTGGTAGGAACGGTGTCAGCTGCTTAGGATATGTGCTGCACACAACTAGGAACGATCAGTCTCAACTGGCAGTAAGTGCTACATGTCGCTAACCAGCGATTCTCGTACAGTGGCACATCTTCTAAGTGCGCACACACATCACAGAAGTCCGGACAAGTATTGCTCTATTCTGCCTCATCCTTTATGTTCTACATCACCGTTTCTACACACCCCATGCGATAAATCCGCAACTTACACCGTGCTTTGCCGATATCGGAGGCGCTCATCACGCGAACGCGATGCATGTTTGCAAATGAACATTGGCAAGCCCTGAATGTATTTACGACATCCTGAGCATACACAGAAATACCTGATAATTGTACTCTAGGAGAAATTCAAGCTATTTCAGACGGTGCTGTGGCAATTTGATTCCTTGAGCAGAATAAAAAGTCATGAATCTTTTTTTCGTACGATTTCCCAGTCTCTAGAAAGTCCTGAAAATCGGTCATTCACTGTGTCCCGACGATCCATGGTCCAAACAGTGACATTTGGTCCAGTTCGGCTTGGCTTGGCTCGAGTTGCGTCCTTTGCAGGTGCACTGTGATGCCAATTTCAACGCGAGAACATCAAGTAGTTTTGTTTCTGAAAGTCGGAGCACACCCTTTGGCGGATTACTCGGACCGTTTTTCTCGAGTCGGCTTCGCGGCATGTTTTTTCGGCCACTAATTCCAGGGGAAAATTATGGAGAGTTCTGCCACATTCGCTACCTTCGAGGCCAAAAGTGAATGAGCCTTCCTCCCACAGACAAGCCGCATTGAACCACTGGCGTGCAGCGACCAATTGCACATTCATATGCCCAGTGGCTGGGGAAGCAATTCGTATAAAATCGAATCACAGTGTATTTTATATAATGTAGTAATTCAAAACAATCTTAACATTCCTATCGTCGCGAAATTCGCATAAACCGTAATCATATCATCGAGACTGTACTGTAGTATATTTTGGAGTACTTTTGTACAGAAACAGTCTAAAAATGTCCGAAGAATCAAGCTTTTGTAATTGTTTTTCATTCAGAACAAACCTGACACGAGAGTTTTGTGTTGTGCTGTGTGTGTGCATTTGGGACACTATATGACAAAGCACACCTAGAACAAACACAAATGTATGCCCACCTGAAGTTGATTGAGTTGAGGCAGAAGTAGGGATGCACGTCCAACAGAACCTTGTTTCCCTTATTATGAAGGATGCGCACAATTTCAGCCGGATGAGGAAATGCCTCCTTCCAGAAGGCAAGGTCGCCCTGAGTGTACTGCCAGCCATCACGGATTAAGACAAAGCCACCATTGAAACCATGGTTCACAAATCGGTTAGCATACTCGTGCACGGTTGCCTGCGTTAGATTGCCGTCCTCGCCTGGCCTGGGCACGAGCACTGGATGCCTGACGAAGACTTCCTCTGCGGCGGTGAAATTGCTGGGCTCTGGACGGTGAGGTGCCGAAGCTTTGTGGATGGCCAAAACGTCGGGCCCCGTGCAGAGTGTGTAGTTTAGCTCCTCCTTTGCGGCGAGGCACAGTCGTTCGCTGCCAGAAGCATTGAAACTGAACATAAGGGCCTGATTGGGACTGGCCAGAATCGACACCCCACGTGATGACAGCCAGTACGGTTCTAGCACTGAACCCAGTGGGTCAGCACGACCCGTTTCAAACGCCATAGTGTTCAGCTGGAGATTTGCGAGGGGCCAGCTGAGGTTGCCCACTTCACCCATGCCAAACCAGTGGGCACCGGTGAGGTCGTAACAATCCACCAGTTCCGTGTGAACACTTGCAGCCCGCCAGTGCACTTCATAGCAGGCTATCTCGTCCTGCATGGGTGCCACACGCATCTCGAGGCGAGCCCGATACTTCCACTCGTAGCAGTAGCCAAGGTGCAGCACAGGGCAGATGTGTGCTTCCAGTGCTGGAGGGATCACCTGTAATGTTTGTTTTAAACGCCTGTGTTAGTGTCTTAACCTCCACTTTCTCAGTGACCAGAATCAAGTGGCACTTAGGTCGTGAATCAACATAGCAGAGGAGCCTTAACCTTTTCCTTTAAGGAACAAAGAAGGAGTTGTGATAGTAAAGCTCGAACCCCCACGAGCTGAAGTCACTATGAAAAGAAGCTAACACAAAAATATGTTTCTATAGCACATTAAACATATGTGCTATAGCAAAAAGGTCATGCAACGAGGGGCAAGCCACCATAACATATTTATTAATTTAATGTGAAGTTGTAGAATATTTATTTAAGTGTATGCAAAAATAGCAGTGAGTTGACTACAAGCCTGTCTGACCAGCTTTCTTTTTATAATTAGTACGTGAAATTGTCAAGCAGGTTTACTGAGCTGCCTGCAATGTTGCAGTGCGTGCTGAAGTGGTTCAGAAGCTTTACGTGCACACATCTAAAATATGCAGGTACTCCTGCAAGTCTATTTAAGAAACAAGAGCACATTCCTCGAGACAGGCATGGCTAGGAACCGAAATGTTCACCTGGCCGAGCTCTCCCTGAAGAAGGGTGCGGCCTCCACGATCGAGCAAGCGCAGCCTTCGTGTCTGAGGATCAAAGTCCGACTTGGTTGAAAGCCGAGTGGCTTCCTGGAATGCCTCGTGTAGGTGCCATGTGAGAACCACCACACTGACTATGCTGACAAAAAGCACAGCCAGAACAAGCCGGAACCGGAATTCTGGTGTCCTACTTTGGCGGACCAAAGCCAGTGCCTTGGCTGCCTGCAGAGCAAGTAATACACCAGCGAAGCAACAGAGGGCTCACATGTGCAATGATAGTAATCGGTAACCACAAGGCTACTGAAGCCCCGCCTTGTAGTATGCAGCACAAACATTTGAAGAAGACTTACTGGTTACCATGGGTGTTCACAACACACTGCTTTTTACAATACTTTCTTGCCCCCAAACATCAGTTTCAATTGGTTAAGCACAAAAGTACAATAGTGCCTCAGAAGCATTATTCTTATATACTGAACTTAGCATTTCATGATAATCAGGTTGGTTTTTGACGTTACCAAAGCTTTTGGCAGTACTTGGAACAGTCTCCAACCGGCCAACTGCAACGAAACTTGACTCGGGCAGAATTAGCTTCGAATGCGTAGTATATGTTGAGTAAGCAATGATGATCACAGTGAAAAAGCTAGCAATCATGTCTTCAATTTGTAATCGGTGCTCTAATCGTCAGCTAGCAGACGACGCAGAGCTCTAGCGGTGTTCCCGGACAGAAACGGAAATGACGTCAATTGGAGCTCACCACCATTTGTGAGTAGAACTGCCTGCAGTCGCATCCATTCCATTTCTGCGTCCCGCCCATCTACGAGCTGATTATTCAGAGGAGTAAACTTTTGTAGTACGAAATGCAGCTGTAGACTGCAGGAACATGTTATGGCTGGGACCAGAGTTTATGCTTTTTCTAAAAATGTGAAGCTCCAAAAGCTGTGGGTTATCGGAGTATAAGGCGAAAGGAATGGGAGGTATCAAAGAGCGTGCTTTATGCGCAACTTCAGAGATGACGAATATAAACACGACCAGTGTCTCTCCACCAAAACACTGTTGAAACAGGAAATGTTCAATCCAGACGCAGTGCCTTCAATATTCGACGACTGGAAACAACAGCCCGCAGGAAGCCCCGAGAGGCATAAACTCGACGAAGACCAGGGTTTCGAGAAGCACTAGCGACGACATGTATTCGTATTTGATAGCTTTAGTATAGCGTAAATTCATTTTGTTAGCGTGCTTTGCTCGCTAAATTATAGCATACCACTATTTAAAGACACAACTAGTAAAAAGATGACCTGGGAAAACCTAGATAAGCTGCGCCATTCATGATCAGGTAATCAAAGCTCCTAAAGCTGGTCGGCTCGTTTCTTGTGGCGAGTAGTCAAAGCAGCGAAGTTTGATAGAAATGTTTTGTGCTCTGTTCAAAGCACATAATCACATTATAAGAAAAGTGATTGTACGACTGTAGGTTTTATGTAAAGGTTTTGGGTGCAGTCGGACAAGTATGTACAGAAATTCAGAGATGCTTTTGAAACAAATGGGAGTGTGCCAAAGCAAGCATCGGTATTGAAAAAAATATCTTATGATCCATAGTTATTAATGAATCAAGGATATCCAAAGCGTAAGCAAGCGGCATCATTTATTGTGAACCAGCAAGTTCACCAACACAGCAAGACGAGACAATAGGTGCGAAGTGGGCTGCCGGTATTTAGATAGGCACTTTATCCAGCATTTGTGATCATGTATCCTTCACGATGCATGTTTAGATTGTCTGCTTTTTTGTTACCGTTTCAAGAGAAAACTCTGGAGCACGGCCGCGAAGTGCATACTTTGGAGCGCAGAGGAGACGATTCGGTTGCATTGGCTGGTCTGACGCGCCGCTGCTGATGTCGCGTCCTGTCAGCTGTAATGGCATCGTTTTTGCTAGATTCAGTATAAAAAATCGCATTGTCGGTGAGCTTTTTCTTAGGTAATGACTTGCATTTTGAAGCTGAAATTTAGCAGGCAGCATTGTCTCCAGCTGGACTGCCTATAAATCGGCTTTTGGTGGTGTACACAATTACATTGCAGTTGGCCTTTAACTTGCTTGCGACAATGCTCGAGGCCCATGTGCTTAGATTAGGTACATGTGAAAAAACACCAGGTGGTCGAAATTTGTGGAGCCTTTCATAATCATATCGTGGTTTTGGGACATATCAAACCCCATCAATTATTATTATTCATTAATGTGCTTACTAAAAAGCTTTCTGAAAAATATGCATTCACTCATTAAGTAAGCAACAAAAAAGAAATTTTTCTCCCAAATATTATGTTCCTCAGGAATCAATATTACATGTTCTAGCTTAAAAGGACACTAAAGGCAACCATTAAGTGAGCGTTGATTGTTGAAATAGCGGTCCAGAAACCTCGTAGTGTTACTTTTGTGCCAAGGAAATGCTTATTTTGAAATAAAATCACGTTTTAGTGGTTCGCATCAGGTCAGCGCACTTCAAATTACCCGCCGGACCGTCTCGCATCACTGTTGCCGTGCACAATGCTACCCAGCTTGACTGCGCGGACGCCGACACTAGTAGCAGGAGAACGAAAGCAGCGCGAGCCACAGAAGAAACAACGGCTGCAATTGGCTCCGAGATGGTAGACGTGTTTTGGTTCAACTGGACCCCGCTAGATGGCACGACCTGTCTAGTTTAACCAGGCGAAAATTTAACTTTTTAACCACTCGCTCCATTTTTCATAATAACGTCTGCAGGTTCCTTTTTCCATGAATCACACAGAAGCGAACAAACAGTATTTTATAACATCTCTTGATGCACGGAAGGTTTTTTATTTAGTGTAGCTAGTTTGACTACTAGTGATTAATTGTAGGGGGTTCGTTTGACGTTACTGGGATCATTTCGAGAATGTCTTATCGTAGCGCATGTGTTCGCGTGCATTTACTTTAATTTCTCGGTAAGTAGGGCCATACTGTTCATAATGTTGTATTAGAAATTGTCATATATTAAGCTTTCACTCTCACATAAACTGTTATTTGACTTACTGACATGCTTTGGCCGCAAATAACACACACACAAAGTAAAGAAATACTCAACGACAAGCACAAGTGGCACTTCCAACTAAAGTAGACTGGGCACAAATCTAGACTTAAATAGCAACATAGAGACATGCGCAGTCTTCACACAGCCTTACGCTATCCAGCTATCGAACAATCTTTTCTCCGATAAGTATTTGCGCCCGGTCTACTTTAGTTGGAAGTGCCGCTTGTGTTTGTCATTGAGTATTTCTTTACTTTGTGCGTGTGTTACTTGCGGCCAAAGCATGTCAGTAAGCATGTACCAACTAGGCCAACAATCGGTATTGTTATTTGACTTTTGTGTCCTTTTAGTGTACATGTAAACCACCTTACTATCACCATACTTGTAGCATTGTACATGCAATGATTCTAACATGCAGACCGAATAGTTTTTATAGCTTACACAAAGAAATATGATACGAGTTCACTACCCAAGGCACGGCAGTGCATGCCACAAACTGGTTTCTAGCCATCCTCCATAGCTGTGAATTCAACTTAAGCAACCCCTTTGCTTTAGACACCCTTTAACTAAAGCTTGTAGGAATTGAGGCTAGCCTACCGCCACTGTGCAGACTTTGTCGCCTATTTCTGCCATTCTTATGTCCTAACATGACTCTCCTCCCCTCCCCCGTGGTTCGTCAGCGCTGAGGGAGTGAGAGTGACGTTGACCCCTCTCGCCCGGATGTCGCTCGTGGCGCTGCGCTCGAGTCTCTCGGGACATTTCGCGTGCGCACATCGAGAGTCGATCAGAAACCCTCTGGACGATGAAGGGTGAGCACGCATTTTATGGAGCTCGCTCAGACTTCGCCAACAGCGCCTCGCACACGCAGCGAACGCTTACCTTTCGTTGCACCTTCCGAACGCTAGACCAAAGAGCGGTACAGTGTGGTACAGTCTACTACGCCAACCTGTACTGTACAGTGGCTAGACCGAAGAGCGGTAAAGAGCGGTACAGTGTAGTACCCCATACCGTACCTCTTAAAGCCAACGCGAGCGGATTTTGCCCTCGCTTGAGAGATCGGGCTTTGCGCTTCAGACCATGAGAGCAACGTGCTTGCAGCACCCTTTTTGTTGTACTTTTCGCCCATGGCCTGAACAAGCCTTGTTTGCTTCCCCGCTGCCGTTTTCAACGAGTGCTGTGCTGCGTTTTTAGTGTTGCCGCAGGCAACGAAGGATTGCGACTTGTTTGAGAGCAGTACTGTGTACTAGCCATGCTGCGCTTGGCGCACTGGCTGTCCGAACACGTGTATGCGATGGCGTTAGTCAAGCGAAGCAACAATGAACGCAGCCCTGCAGCTCGCCAAGACCAAACCCGCACTAGTGACTGTGCTCCTTCGGAGTACCCTGTACACTATTAACTTGAGGACTGTTATCCACTCCTTGTGTTCACATTCACTTGTTTTGCCTGTACTTGTGCGCCAATTACATATCTTTTGTAAAATATATACGTATCCCTTATGACAGCGACCTCTTCAGCTTCCCCACTTGCATATGTCAACAACTACATGCTGCTCCTTAGATGTTACAAAATAGCTGCTATTACATGTTTCCGTATAGCCGTAAGTATGAAGTGAATGCCTAATTATGAAGCACACTGAAATATGGTGCATGGCCACTGTAAAAAAATAAGGACACAAATATAACTAAGCTATCACTTTGAAATGAACACTAGTTTAGTTACACTGCTTGTACCAATTCTCATTTTGTGGCATTTTGAAATTCCGCCATTGCTGGTATGCTGCCACTCAAGTCACGGGTTAAACCTCTGACCTTGTTACAGTACAGCTGCGGCCACGTCTGTAGAGAGCCCGCGAGCAGCCAGTTTTGCTCTACCTGAAGTGGTGTGCCAGGAGCATGCACGGCCTAGGCTGACCATGTCGGAACCCAAAACTTCCTCAATGTGTCGCCCCGTAGAGCAAAAACCAGCTAGCCGTGGCTGCACATTTCACGTGTGCAATATAAAAGTGCATGGACCAGTGAAATAGTCAATGACATTTTACGAATTTCTCGCAGAAAGCTTTAGACAACGAGCAACGGGTCCTAAGTTGGTACTAAAGAAATGACAGTTTGCACCAATATAAAAAAGGAAGCAGCATGTAAATTACTCTCATCGCATCGAAAGAAATTACGACTAAAGATCCTGTACCAAATA